CGTATATTCACTATACTGACCATATTAATCACTAAAATAAGTCAATGCGTAGCGAATAAGGAATCATTACAACATTTTAGCATGTATTACAAAATCCAGTTTGTAATATATTATCGTTACCAGTATCTTACCTGCATTTGTCAACATTATAAATAAAATTATTGGCTCAGTTTTCTTCTTTCATTTGCAAAGGTCTTTCTAAAATTATAAAGACGTAACACTTGCAGTATTTGGCCGACTGGGCTTCACAGAATACTGTAGTTATCAAAACATTATAATATTCCTCCTGGGGCGGATCAAACAGTGGCCGGGTGATGATCGCTAAAGTCTAAACTTACCCCCTCCCACTCCACCCATGTTAGAGTGCTTTTTAGCTGGAGAAATTGTAAAGATGTTGGCAAAGTGGGGGGAGAGGTACTGGCCTTTTATAAGAAACTTTTCATTCTAAATATTATTTTTGGCTTTTCAAGTCTCTCAAAAGGTGACGGTTCCCCATTCCTCTTTTATACAGGAGTGCCCTTTATCTTTCTGCTCCCATCCTGCAAATATCTGAACCCGCCCAGTACCTCGCATCCTCGTAAAAGGGCACCGAAGGCGGGTTTTTTGCGAGTCATCATAATCATCGTTAATATTCTGTTAAATTTTTTTATGATCATTATTATCATTACCAAAATTACCATTACTGCTATTATCATCAATATTTTACCACTTATTATTATTATTATTATCATTATCATCCTATTATGATTATCATTTCTATCAGCGTTACAATATTTTAAAAAATATTGTAATATTATCATCAGAGTAATGTTTGTTGACGTGTTATCGTACCGAATACTCAGTACGTCCCCCAAAAAAAAAAATAAATAAATAAAATTCGCAAGTGATTCGGGTGGGAATCGAACTCACTTTCAGGTATGCCTGATGTCTTAACCACTAGCTTGCGATTGGTGGCTAGTGATGAATCTGCTCCCCTAGTGTAGCAGTGGGTACTGCAAGTGAGATATGATTTGCGTCAGGAAAATGTTATAGGAGTGATGGTTTCCCTACCACTAGACCACCAAGCTTGCGCTTGGTGACTAGTGATGAATCCGATCCCCTAGTAGCAGTTAGTACTGCAAGTGCTATGACGCAAATCATATCTTTATAATAATTATTATCATTTACATAATTTAATTTGTTATTCTCAGTTGAAAGACAATGTTTTAGTAAATCGAAAGTGCGGTAATGGAATTAGTAGTACTAGGCTAATAGTAGTATTATCACTGCTTTATTAAAGGGGAGGATCTAGGTTCACATTGGGGGAGGGGGGTAAGACATTTTATCATAAAAACGACAAAAAAAGGGGGGGACCCAGGGTACTCCCCGGGGAAACGTTGGTTCTTAGATGGCAAGAAATGAGTTTTCCTGACTTCTGAAGTGTCTTTTAATCAAAATTTCCCCCTTTTGTAAACGGTCAGGTAATTTTTTCTCATTCTTATTCATCAGTAATCATTACTTATCATTACTCATCAGCAATCATTATACGGTATCGTGTTCGTTTAACGATTGAGACTACCATCCTTTATTTACCGGAATATTTAATCTAGTGTATTTTACTGGTACATGTTAAGCTAAGTAAAGCAATTAACTTTATATGGGGTAATCTGCGAGTGCTGTATCCTGTACTGTTGGAGGATCATGAAAATATTAACGATGTCACAAATAAAGAAGAAACCTGCGTTGTGGCTAAAATCCTTACTTTTGCCAGAAATTAAGGTTATAGGCCTATTATGCAAAAGACTATAGCAATATTAAACATTCACTTAAAGATAGTATTTAGATAGTTGGATACAGAAACATGTCTGGGTTGGGGCCGTAAAGGCCTTTAAATATAAGCTTGCCTATGAAATTAAAGCAGTTGTGTTTTTATAAAATGTAGGCCTATTAACTTATTGTTCAGTATACAAAACTTAGTTTTGTTTTATTGATATACTGTACGTGGTAGTATAGGATGCATTCACATAAGAATGACCAACCTCGGGGAATAAAAACACGAATAATACCATTTCTGTGCACTAAACATATTTAATTTCTTCAATCTTTCGATATTTGAACTTTAACATCATTGGTTTTGTATTACAATCCAACAACGGATTTCCCATCCCATTTTGTTACCGTTGAGGAGGTGTCTTTTAACAGCACGATATATTAATACAGGAGCCCCAAAGTGTAC